CGGTGGCAAGACTTTTCATTACTAAAATAAGAATTAGAGTGAGTTATCGGAGTATTGACCATCTTTGCTTTTTAAAATCTTATAAAAGTTTGCAATATTTTGTATTATATTTTATTTAAAAAACGAAAATTACCTTCTAAATTAGAAGTTCATTTTTTTAATTTTTAACTCAATTCAAAACATTTTTTTTGTTGTTGTTGTATGCAGTTTCCAGCAAACTTTAATTAATTTTTTTCTATTTGTGAAAATTTCTACGTTATTTAAAGGTAATTTTTATTATAGGCCTATAGACCTAACACAGCATTATTAATATGATTTTGGAGGTTACAAAACTTTAAAATTACTTTAAAAAATGGAAAATAATTATATCATTTGATTTCAAGATATTTTGTATACCTTAAAAATAATTAATTCTATCCCGGGATTTCCCGGGATCCCGGGAAACAGTTCACTTTTATCCCGGGATCCCGGGACAAGCAAAATACCGGGAAATGAGAAACCCTAGTATATAGTATAGGTAGTTGTAAGAAATACGGCCTATGCAAAATGAGGATTTTAAATTTTTTATATTTTATACTATGAGTGATTAAAAAGCATTTACGTATAATACGTAAATGATTACTTAATAATTATGAAATTTATTTAAAAAAGTTAATGAATGTTTAAAAATTTCATAAATATAAGAAAAATAATGATTGACACAATTAATTTTAATGGCATTAATTAATTCTAGAACTTTTTCTTTTATCCTTTATAAAAGTTAATATAGTTTGAAAAGTTTTTCATTTGATACAATTAACTTTATTAGGATTATTCAATCATTTGAAATTTCAACTAAATATGAACTAGAATCCTCTTTCGTTTGAAGTTGCACGTTTCTCAGCAAACTGATAAATTAAGAGTGGCAGTAAAGTGAGAGGTGGGATAAACATTCAGAGAGAAGTTGTAATGAAATATAGAGAATGGGAGGATGAATAATAAATGTGCTAATTTGGATGGTGATGAAGAAACTTGAATTTCAACATTGACTTTCAGCCAAAATATTGCTTTTATGGCACGTGCATTAACATGCTAAAAGTAAGAATTTCGCCATGGCGAGATCATTCCCATATCTGCAAAAAAGCCCATGGCTCAAAGTCCTTTTATACTAATCGGCTTTTATAGTTTTTAAGCGATGTATAAACGTCCATTGTTATTTCCAATCAATAATCATATTGATTGGAAATAAATTATCGATTGCTTTCATAAACATGTTTCTCTTAGTAACGAAAAATAACACATTTGTTACCTTTCGGAACTTAACCCCATGTTTTGTATTAGTCCTTTGTTCCGTTTATCACGGATTCGCATAACTTGGACTTTTCCCGAACGTAACTACCGTGTTATACGACGGATACCTGTATAGTTGTTAGCATGACATGATATCTATTACATAACAATTACATTTTACTAATACAGCGCCTATGGTGACAGAGGTGTGCTGGACTTCCGAGGTTTTTTTTTTATTTTCCCCCAATTCAAACAGTTATACGCAGTCAGAATGTTGCAGATATTGCTGTGCAATTTGTTCCAGCAAACCTAATTATGCATAAGATCTTAAGATCCTTATATCACTTTCATACAATAACTAGTATGAAAGTGATATAAGGTATGACTATATTTAACATGTTCAGCTTACCATCGCTTGAGAAATGTGCATATACGACTTATCTTAACGAAAACATTGCTGAACAAAGTGTTGATTTTGTGCATCTTAAATATTACAACGTTCCGATTAATAATATGCTTTGTGCAAAATTTGATTATAATGAATATTCATAATCATTCACATTACAAAAAGTAGTTTATGCGATTAAAAGACGAACTCATAAATCACTTACCTAAAACCAGAAATGGAACCATTGCATCCACCGGAGACACACCTATTCCTGCATACTGTAATAAACCGAATCCCGAAACTAGACTCATACCAGTGGCTATCGAAGACATGATTCCGGTCCACGGTTTACTTCGAAGGAAATCTGGCCATAAACAGCTGACAACGGTAAACGTAAGCATCAAAATAACAGAACTTGGAATATATTTTAAGGTAACAGGAAACAGTTGTTTTTTAGATTCATCTCTAGAAAGCAACACGTCTTTACTTATTTTGATATAAGAAAAGTTCACCTTATTTAAGATGTTTATGAATTGATTTTCCCATTTTATGGCTCTTTCTTCTGCCCATTTATTCGAATCGTCTAGAAAATAGAACAATTTAACAGCCTTGGCAGATATTATATATCCTTCTTCGTTCACTTCCACGCCACCCAAAGTTAAAACGTCGTAATTTCTGCTCGTGTCGCCAATTGGATATTTCAATCGAAAAGTTCCGTTTTGCAACACTTTCAGTTTATTGTCTATACGAAGAATTTTATTTTCGTAACACTTTCCATTGTTTCTAGCGCAAATGTCTTTGTAGTTCCACCCGTCGTCTTCGTCAACAAAAAAATTTTGAATTTCCCGATCCAAAGTGACAATTTCACGAAAGACGAACTCTCGTAGAACCGAGCCTCCGTCCGTCGCTTCGACAATAACAGTTCCGTAATGAATGGTGTGCAATAATCTCCCGGGATAGAAATTTGATGCGAGATCTACGGAAAATAATCTCATCAGAAACGATTTGTACTTGTCGACAATCCCTCCGGATGGAACTAGAGAGTCTTCGTTCAGATCATGAGAAAACTTTTGTAATCCTGTGGCTGATAACAATGTCATGAAGATAGGCACAACTATGTACCATGACGTGTGTCTTGAGACATTTATCCCGTGTTTATGGAATAGTTTGGTTAGAAATCGATAAGCAATTCCAATAAACATACTCGATATCTGTAAATATATTTATAATAAAATTTATTAATTTATTATTATATAAAAGTCAATATACTAGTTGTTAGTCATATACAATTTTGAGATTACAATTTATATTTTTTATTTTTACGATGAAATTTTTATACGGCTTTCAGGTTTAATAGTATAATTTGAAAATTTATCATAATTTAGTAAGAATGTTGTTGTCTTCTAGTGCAAATACTCGGGCAGAATTTTTACAATCAAACACTTCAATATATGCTTATCAGTAGCGTAGCAGATGCCCAACTTGTATTTTACTTCAACCACGTATTGAATAGCACGTGTGGTTTCGCATTACCTATAACCTAAGAAATCATTTAATTTCGAGGCGATTGTTTGAGGTCATTAATTATGCATAGATGTATCATACACTTGATTATTCATAAAACCCTACAGGAAAAAGTCCAGTATGGTCAGAACCAATCTACTATCTGAGAAACTCGATTCAGAAATTGTTTTATGTAAATTTTAAACTGGGGATGAACACATCTTATTAAGAATAGTGTCAGAAGGAATTTGCGGAATACCATAAGTTGCGATATGAACTGTACAAATAACCTCCTCTATTCACTGCGCCTTATCATCTGGTCCTTCGTTAACGTTAACCTATTTTACCATTAAGCGCATGCGCTAGTAACCTCAGGCTATGGTATTATCCGGAGCTTAATAGCATATGGTCCTGAGGTTAGCTTACATTGTATTTCTCACAAATGGCCTACATGTCAACATAAAAACAACATAAAAATACATGTCAACATAAAAACACAGATCAATTTCCAGTCTGAAACAATTACAACACGGATAATAAATTTCTTATTTATTAAACCTTTATGATGGGCAACCCGTATATTTATGAATTAAAGGTTTTGATGCCGAACAAAAAAATGATGCGTGAACAATGGTGAATTGGTCTGTTAGGAAATGTATCTATCAATAAAGTAATTTATCGATGTGTAGTAATTTCCGTTTACAATGGAAAGTTTGGTCTCAAGTGAATTTTACCGTATGACGCTAACATTACCAACGTTAATGTTGGCGTCTCTACAGTGGCACTTCATAATAGGCATTTGTAAATTATACTGTCTTGTGACACTGTCTGTCTTAGAGATAGAAGTCTGACCGCTCAGGATAGCGAAAGGGGTAAAATGTACGTGGTGGGATGGAAACTAAAGTATAAACTCCATTTGTACCAAAACTGTTTAGTAGAGGGATATTGGGTTAGTACAATTCCTCGCGCAGCGGAACTTATGCGATACATCACGTGTTTTTCTCTCTTTTACAAACTTTCTATTTTGCAAAGAACATACATTTATCGCATTTCAGCTTCATAACATTCATGAAAGATGATATGACTGTATTTTACAATGTCTGTTGGAAAGTGGTGTAACGTGTTTCCAATGTATTGCTGGTCTTGTGCTTGGCATGTTTCAGGGAACTGGCAAGAAATTTATGCAAAATTAAAAACAATGGATAGGAATAATGGTTAAGAAGCAGCAATGACAATAAGAAATGAAACGACAGAGGAAAAATTTAACAAGTATTTCAAAGCCATAATGAACGATGCAAGATACAGTTGAATTTGGAACGTATTTTTCAACATAATTAGTGTGACAGACCTAAAATTGGGTAGAAATCTCTTGAAATAAAAATTAACACTTAAATAAAAACTCGTATCTTAAACCATCGCACAAAAAAAATAAAACATCAATACCTATATTGTAGGCATATGAAAAAAGCCTACACGTAGCAATAGATGAGCTTTTAAAGCTGGCTGGGGATTTAATATTTTAATGCTTGATTAAGCTTACGAAGAAAAACGTTTCTTCAAAAAGAATTAGTAGAAATAAAACCAGTCACAAACAGTTTGAATATAAACAATAATACGAGATAAGTGATTTCAGGATGTTAGTCAAATGTTCTCTCCGTATCAAGAGAAAATATGTATAAAGTGGAAAAGGTAAATGAAGGGCGCTCGGTAACACGCTTTCTAAGATGTAGTCCATGTAAAGTATGTGTCCGTTGACTTACATGCTCCCGTATCGCAATATGATTACAGAGAATATTATGTAAACACGGTCTTGTAAGCTATGCTGCTGAGAAGAAAGGACAAAATGTGTACTGTAAATATGCTTTCTATTAATGAAGTGCCACTCTTAGCAGCCAATAATCAAGAGCTTAATGTAAAGGAATAGTTGTAATTTTTATCAGCCATCATAATACAAATTCTTCTAATTCCATTTCAAAAAATAAAGTTGAAAACATTTTAGAATGGCTGCAAATTTTCTATACAGGAAAATTTTGCAATTAATAAGATTTTAAACAATATATTGAAAATCTGTAACAACAATGTAAATATACAATAATTTCTGTCGTCCGAATCGAACTTCTAATGTCAATGTTAAAAAAAGAGAATAACAAAACAAACAAGACTTTTTCCATTAAAGTAAAAATATTTAGGAGTGCTGCGCTTCAAATGTTCCTATTGTGAATATTAATGTAGAATTTAATCATTTTTACAACAAGTAGACCCAATAACAATAATAGAATAGAACAATGGTAATCCGATTATTTTTATATAAACTTTACAGGTCTGTAATTTGATAAATCAGAAATGTTTATAATGTCAAAAGCTTTAATCAACAGCTAAAGATTTGACCAACAGTTCACCTTGAATGTAGCATCAAACTTGACATCGTTATACCTTATCCAAATTTCCCAAATCAAGTTACAAGTTATCAAAATCTCTGCACTAGTTAGTATAACAGACTTTTAAATGTAAACAACGTTAACTGAACTGGACGCCACAAAATTTATTGGCACGTAATTTTTGCATGTAGTGAATATTCGGTGAAACTTATTGCTGGGTGTCTTTGAACTTCTAATTTGACGTTTATTTTATAACCTATTTCAGTAAGAAAGATTAATTTTAAGCCGAAATTTTCGATTATTTCTAAAATGAAGGAAGAAAGAAAGAAAACAAATTACATTATATTTTCTAAAAGCTCCAATAGATGGTACGGGAGTAGAATGCGAACGTGATATCCGGATCCACTTGTAAAAACAGATCATAGAAAACGAGCCTCTTACTACGTGTCAATATTTAGTTGAGATGCAGAGCAGAATTTTCTGCCCAGAGCCATTTTTGCTCACCTAGAGTGCCGCGGCTAGGATTCAGAAGCTAGAAGCTGAGTATATATAAAATGTATATAAAACTTAGTATTGTCACCTTTTCAAAATCGCCGACCCGGACGGCGGGTGAGGTTTGTTCGAACAGAAGTTCCTGACGCGTGCGTATTTCATTTTGTAATGGGAAGAATAAAGTGCAGTGCCTACCGGTTCTAAATCAGTTACAGTTAGGGACTAGGGAGACTCGGGTAGGAGTAACGTAAGTAACCTAAATTAAGAAAAAACAACTACAGATGACTTAGCTCTATTGGATATTGGAGACGTGTACGAATACGAATCGTACAAGTAAAAAGAAAAAAAAAAAAAAACACGGTCGACAGGTCGCGCACGATATTCCCAAACAAAATTAATAGTTCACCCGGACAGTGAGTCGATTCCCGGATAGTCTGGGTAAAAAGCAAACGGGTGGTAACACTAATAAAACTAATACTTAGCTCCACATTAAATATGAATTAAGACCTTTCCGGATGTAATTAAATTCAGAGAAAGAACCTTTGAGCCTTTTATCAAAATTGCAGGATTACGCTTCTGAATATAATAAATGAAAAAACCTTATGTCTAATACGATGTAAAATTGAACGATTCATTTTTATTTTCTAAATAAATAAATAAATAACATTAAAATCGTTTATTTATTTTTTAAATTCCTTATTTCTTTAAAAACATAAACATTTTACCCTTTCCAAATAATAATTGTTTTTTTCTTTTAATTATTAAAAAAATCTTTGTTAATGAATGATTTTATAAATAAAAATTTAGAAGCTTTCGTAAAATATATTTTCTTGATAAATTCATTATAAACTGGATTGAGAGCACAGAAATCAAAAGGGAGAAAATGATTTTTAAAGAGAAAAGTGATATCTTTAACTGATGGAAATGGATAAAAAATGAGAAGTTACAAATAATTTTTTAAATAAAACTGCTCTAGTGTTAGGACAAAAAAAGTTAAGAAATAAATACATATAGTATATACTTCAATATCCAGTTTATTAGCAATTGTTACATAAAAACATTCAAAATTATGGTTACGAATTTAACGAAAATAGGACAATTCTCTTTCCGATTTAGTGTTCTGGTTTAAAGCAAACGTCTTGTTTTTCCACATCGCAAAAAGTGCAGTTGCTAATGATTTAAAAACGTACAAATTTTGCTGTTATAGCAACTCTGCGCTCGACATTTTCCCATTCCACTCGCTTATCTGCTACTGGAAATCTGAGTAATGGTATCGGCATGAATATCATTGCTGCTAAAACATTCGAGGCTGAATGAATTCACTCTTCTATCGGGTNCACTCGCTTATCTGCTACTGGAAATCTGAGTAATGGTATCGGCATGAATATCATTGCTGCTAAAACATTCGAGGCTGAATGAATTCACTCTTCTATCGGGTTACATGCATAATCTAACAGATCTACCGATTTCTAATTCACCAGTCTCTTTGTATAAATCAGACGACTTTCCGCTACTCCTTGCCGTTTTTTTTAAAAAAACGACGATTTTCGTCACGTCTCTTCAAGTTTAGACGATTTAAAGCTGGATGCAACAATCATATAGCCTATTACAGAAAACACGCACACAAACAAAAAAGAAAAGTGAAATAACTAAAACACACTATAAAAACACCTAAAAATGCAACTTGCTCTCTCCAACGTTGCCTATCGAATAATCGAAACGCATCTCTATCGGGAGCGGTAGTCTCTAGAACTGTAGTCTCATTCTATATTGGAGTGGTATCTTATGATACCTAATCTATATAGAAAAAGATATCATCAAGATCGCACTCTTATTTAATC